GATGATAGGGGCTTGGACCAGGGTTACAGCATAAAAGTGATAAGGTGGCCTGGTGTGGTGGCTCATGTCTGTAATCCCAGTACTTTGGGAGGCCAAGGTGGGCAGATCATGAGGCCAGGAGATCAAGACCATCCTGGCTAACACGGTAAAACCCCATCTCTACTAAAAATACAAAAAATTAGCCAAGCATGGTGGCATGCGCCTGTAATCATAGCTATTCAGAGGCTAAGGCAGGAGAATCGCTTGAACCCGGGATGTGGAGGTTGCAGTGACTGCAACAGCCACTGCACTCCAGCCTGGGCGACAGAGTGAGACTCTGTCTCAAAAAAAAAAAAAAAAAAAAAAAAGTGATAAGGTATGGAAAACATGCTATATTTTCAAGGTAGAGCCAACAAAACCTGTCCATAGTTAAATGTGTAGTGTGAGAGAGAGAAGAAAGGCCCTATCTTTTGGGATTAAGCACCTAGAAAATATAGTGTCATTTACTATGAAGAAGGAGACTAATAAAGAGCAGATTTGTTTTATTTGGTCTATTATACATTATGATTTTAAACATTTATTCTTTTACCTTTGCCATTTTGATAAGCACATGTTTATCTGAATTGCAAGCATAAACCTTGAGCTAAGGAGAGCTAGTTACAGAGTCCATGGTTCCACTCAGCCTAATATGCAGGCATTGCCATTACACTCAGAATATATTTAATTTGTCTTACTCGACTATTTTCCATCAAAAATACATTTACACATCTTGTTCACAACTATAAAATTCACTCAGTCTGTTTCATGGATAGCATTACTTTGAATTCCCAAAATAGTGGCCCCATTTCTTCCTTCCCTGCTTAACCTGGACTACCAATCCAATGAATTCTTGCCTATATCCCCCAGTGGCTAAACCTCTTGTCTTTTCAGCCCATCAGAGTTACCAGTCCCTAACCTATGATTAATCCAACCATCTGCTTGCGCAACGGAAATTCATAAGCTGCCAAATGCTGCTTGAGAAAAACTGTGTAACCGTACTGCTTGGACTTATTACATATTTACTATTTCCAACCTCAACTTAGTCTTCAGTATAGCTTGGCAATCCTTACACCTGTATTGATTCAGATATCTTTCCTATTCACCAAGGTTACCATTTTATAACTTTACACTCCTGCGTAAGCTTTCACTTTAATATCTAGGAGAAAAAAACTACTTACCGCTTTCCAGAAAAGAAAATGAATACTCTAGGCACTTAATATATTCAAATATCCTTCTCTGATTTCAACATTACATATATTAACTCTCATCTTTACCTCCCCAATCACTGCCATATTTCTCTTTTGCCCATCATCCCAAACTTCCTTCCACTCACTACATAAATCCCATGCCTTGTTCATGGCTCTCGGTCTTTGCAGATGCAATTTCATCATCTTCAACAATCTCTGTTGCTTCAATGTCTACACATTTTTCAAAGTGCAGTGGAAATGCTGTTTACCAGTGAAGCCCCACCCCCAAACCAGCTGCCATAGACAAAGATTGCAAATCTTTCCTCTTTATTATCTTAGCACACTATTCAGACCCAAATTATAGCACTCCCTATATTTTGCTGCAATCATGCCTGTTATCTATTTCTGTCACTAACTCTAAGACTTGACAGAGCAGATCATTTGTTATTGGTCTAGTGCATTCAATTCAAAAGCATGCAACGTGATTTTTATATTCTCTCACTCAACAACAATCAACACAGACAACTTCTGTGACCAAATTTGGTGAAGGGGACTGGGTTCTCCCCATCATCACGCAAACAGTCAGTTCTGCAGTGGATAAATGGGTGTCTTCCAATTTAATTCTGACACTATGTAACTGGAGATAGCATCGCATCTCACAGATTGAGGCTTCAGTCCCTAACACTGCCCCCTCCCCCAAACACCAACAGTTGCAAGTTCCGGCCTCCAGAACTTCTGATCCACCTGCTTCAATTGGGGTTCTCAAGACCTTCTCTTCAGGTTTAATTTGCTAGAGCAGCTCACAAAACTCAAGGAAACTTGTTTACTGATTTATTATAAAAGGCATTACTAAGAGCACAGATGAAGAGATACACACGGTGAGATATGAGGAAAGGGGCATACAGAGCTTCCCTGCCCTCCCTGGGCAGCCACTCCTCAGGAACCTCCATGTGTTCAGCTATCCACAAATCCCTGAACCCCGTCTTTTGGGGTTTTATAGAAGCTTCATTATGTAGGCAGAATTGGTTAAACCATTGGCCATTGGTGATGAGCTCAATCTTCAGTCTCTCACCCCTCCCTGGAGGTTAGGAGGTGGGACTGAAAGCCCCACCCTCTAATTTTGCCCTGGTTTTCTGGTGACCAGCCCCCATTCTGAAGCTACCTAGAGGCTGCCAGCCCTAAGTCAACTCATTAGCATACAAAAAGACATCACTCAGGCATTTTTAAAGATTTTAAAAGTTGAATGCCAGAAAATGGGAAAAAGACCAAATACATATTTCACAATATCACAATACTATATAGATTTTTTTTTTTTCCAAGAGTTTCCTTGGAGGTGTGCTGGACAGAGGCAAGGCTATGGTAATAACAGTCTTAAAGAGATGTTTTGTGTTGGACATAAGAGAGGATTTTTCATTGGTTACAGAAGTGACATTGATCCATGCCTGTCAGCCTTAGAAATGTGTTCATTTCAGTAAAGCTGAATGGAGTGCACTTTCTTAAGTGCAGACTCACATTGAGAAATCCACGCTATGGAAGCTGACTTCCATAGCATGAGGCTGTAACTGATTGGTTGACTTTTACTGATAAGATACAGGAAAAGGAAAATAATGTGAATATCACAAGTGCCACTGCTTGGTGTTACACGGTCTCCTCTGCAAACTTTACCTCTGGCTTGGAAGAATAAACCAATAAAAATACTAACACAAGGAGCTTTCTGAATTGGGAGCTATCCACAAGGCTGCTTTGCCATTTCAGGTCTACTAAATAATATCATATTATCCTTGAAAGCAATAACACAGGAATTCATGTTTGCTGAGGCAGCTCCTTTGAAATTTGTCTCAAATGAAGCACAGAGAGCAGAGAAGATAGGCAAGCCGACAGATATTTAACCTGTGTGTATATCACATTCCATATATTATCGATTAATTTTCAAAACCACCAAATAAGGTAGATGTTCATTTATGCGAAAAGATTAGAACTTAAAGAAATTAAATAAAAGTTTCAATCTCACGAAGCTAGTAAGTAACAAAATCAGAATTCAAACCCAGGTCATAGCCAGTTTTTTTTCAGCCTTTTGTACCATACCAATGCCTTCGTTTTGAAGAAACAGGCCTGGAAAGAACATGCAGTAGAAGCTGGGAAAGTCTCTACCAGTGTTTCTGACATGGAAAAGAAGTTGTGCTAAAATCTGTAGTATTTCTGAACCTCTTCCCCATTGAGTGATGGTTTTTTTAGTTATAGAATAAAAATTCAAATCTTACATATTAGAAAGTTATACAATTTCAACACTTCCTGCCATTCTCAGGGAGATGTTTGCCACATAAAAAGTCACACTACAAAGCAATGTGGTATACTTAGGTTCTGGTGGGTATCTATGACCAGTTACTTCGACCAATTCACATAAAAAATTAATATATGATTCAATAATTCTATCTATATCATGTATTTTTAAATGACCAAAATAAACATACAAGGTTCTATCAACTACATCAAAAAATAAAAATCAGATCTAGCTAGCTTACGTTTTTTAAGGTTTTCTGGGAGTCATATGTACTACTGTAGTAAGCACTTAAAACAAGAATGGGATATAAAAATGGAGAGAAGAATGAAGTTAATAGTTTTTTAGGATGGGCACAATGGCTCACGCCTACAATCCTAGCACTTTGGGAGGCCGAGGCGGGTGATCATTTGAACTCAGGAGTTTAAGACTATCTTGGCCCACATGGTGAAACCCTGCCTGTACTAAAAATACAAACATTAGCCAGGCAGCAGTGGCACATGCCTGTAATCCCAGCTACTCAGGAGGCTGAAGCAGGAGTATTGCTTGAGCCTGAGAGTCAGAGGTTGTGGTAAGCCAAGATGTGGCACTGCACACCAGGCTGGACAACAGAGTGAGAGGTCTCAAAAATAATGATGATAAAAATAATTTTAATGCATGGCCTGAAGTCTTATTTGCTAACTTCGGACAGATCACAAATTTAACTCTAGTTATTTTAAACTCTGAACCAGAGAAAACTATTTTAAAATTCATATGTAAGCAAAAAAGAGCCCATATAGCCAAGGCAATCTTAAGCAAAAAGAATACTGCTGAAGGCATCACACTGCCAGACTTCACACTACACTACAGGGCTATAGAATCAAAACAGCATGGTACTGGTACAAGAACAGAAACATAGACCAATGGAACAGAATAGAGAATACAGAAATAAGACCACCCCCTACAACTATCTGATCTTCAACAAACCTGACAAAAATATGCAATGAAAAAAGTATTCCCTATTCAGTAAATGGTGCTGGGAGAACTCACTAGTCATATGAAGAACATTGAAACTGGACCCTTTCTTTATACCATATACACAAATCAACTCGTGGCTGGGCACGGTGGCTCATACCTGTAATCCCAGCATTTTAGGAGGCTGAGGCAAGTGGATCACGAGGTCAAGAATTCAAGACCAGCCTGGCCAACATGGTGAAACCCCAGATAAATATGTATAAAAATACAAAATTAAATACAAAAATACATATAAAAATACAAAATTTAGCTGGGTGTGGTGGCGCATGCCTATAATCCCAGCTACTCGGGAGGCTGGGGCAGGAGAATCACTTGTACCCAGGAGACAGAGGTTGCAGTGAGCCAAGATCAAGCCACTGCACTTAAGCCTGAGTGACAGAGTGAGACTCCATCTCGAAAAAATTTTTGGGGGGAAGATCCAAGATGGCCGCTTAGGAACAGCTTGGAGTTGCAGCTCCCAGAGAAAGCGCAGAGGGTGAGTGGACGCCGCATTTTTATTGCCCATGGACCAGGAGATTCACAGGTGGAAGTGCCGCACGGGTCACCAGTGCGGCTGTTGTGGCCGGCGTGGTTCTTTTGGTCAGCGCGGCTGCTTTGCCCCGCGCGGCTGCTTTGCTGGCGCCCGGGCCAGCAGTTCTCCATACAAAATACACTGGTCTGGGTGCCCTTTTGACTGGCGATTGGAGACCCGGGAAGT